GTGAGCGAAATCATTTCCGTCAAGATCGCAGACCTGGGAAATGCCTGCTGGGTGGGCCATCATTTCACAAACGATATTCAGACCCGGCAATATCGATCGCCCGAAGTGATACTGGGTGCCAAATGGGGCGCCAGTACAGATGTGTGGAGTATGGCGTGCATGGTAGGCTCCCAGCAGTGGAAATTTGTTGGCGAAAACTAACCGATTCCAGGTATTTGAACTGATAACAGGCGACTACCTCTTTGATCCGCAATCTGGAACCAAGTACGGCAAAGACGACGACCATATCGCGCAGATCATCGAGCTGCTGGGTCCATTCCCGAAGTCGTTGTGCCTGTCGGGGAAGTGGTCGCAAGAGATCTTCAATCGTAAAGGCGAGCTGCGCAACATTCATCGACTCCGACACTGGGCCCTCCCCGATGTGCTGCGGGAGAAATATCATTTCTCTGTGGAGGAAGCCAAGCGGATTAGTGATTTTTTGACCCCCATGCTCGAACTACCGCCTGAAGCCCGCGCAAACGCGGGTGGGATGTCGAATTCAGAGTTCTTGAAGGGCGTCAAGGGCATGGACAACGTCAATGTGGATGTCGCTGTTGGATCGAAAGGCGAAGGGATTGAAGGTTGGGCATGTGAGGTTAAAAAGCGATGATCCAGGTCCAGGTTTGCACACGACGAACCACTGAACCAGCGGGTCGAGGCTTCTGCAAGGATTGCCGGGGTGGCAATGATGTGATATGTATCAGATTTTGGCACGCACTCGGGGTGCTTTCTCATCTGACGGTGTCTTGTGAATGAATGCGAATGAATCGAGCACGATCGCTGGACCAAGAAATGAGGCGCAAATACACGGTTTTCACGTACAGAATATAAATGACTACTTTTTGCGGGCTGGATGGCTTTGCCTGGCTGCTTTGCGACGGCCCACGGACAACAGACTGGATCATTTTGGTTGCAAGAAGTGATGCCCTCATCTTCTATACGTTTTCGATGGCATGGATTGTCATGAGAAACGATGCCCAGGAGTCTCTCCTTATGCGTGGTATGGTCAAAATCTTGTTGTCGCTCCACCGCCTTGGTTCTCTTGCCGAGCGGGGCCCCTTCTTCCCTGAGAGCGGGCCGGCCATCCCACATATTCTCCAAGTAATTGGATAGATTGTGATTTGCAGAATGTTCCAGTCGGTCTTCGACAACGAGAATGTGACGTGACTCGTGGAAGATGAAATGTGGAGGGCCAGATTTGGCTAGCGCAGCTCAGCTACGAACCAATCAGAGAACCGAAAGGGCTTCCGGATCGGGACTTCCGGGTCTCGCCTAAACTTGTTTTGAACCTTCGTGCTTCCTCATGCTTCCTCCTTGTTCATCTCGTACCGCTTCAAGAGCCATCACAGACGCCAAGCATCACGCCAGCCCCTTGAGAGTACTGGTGATCCCTCCCGTACCCTGATCAGGACTCAGTCCTGTACCAAGTACAACAGCTGTCCTTGCTCGAGACTTGGCCAGTGTCACGGCTCATGTTCGCCCAAGTACGGCTGGCCCGGCGAGAGAACTACGCTCGCCGAAAATGCTCTGCGTCTCGCCTCTCCATCCATTTGCGCGCTTTCTTCCTCTTTCTCACATGTGCCCATGGAACACCTCGCGTCAGGTTGCTCTTCAGAGCATAGGAGAGCCAATTTAGATCACAAAATCAATCCCTTTTGCGGGAAAGCATCTAACGACTCTTGCTCTTGCTCACAGTAAAGAACTGTTCCGAGGCGAGATTGGTGTGTCTTGTGATCAGGTAAAGGCTGGTTTTGTCTACCAGGACTTGTAACGAGTAGAAGTTGGCACATTGGCTCGTCGCCTGAGCGACCTTCACAGTCAGGAGCCTTCTTCCCCGGTCGTTATATTGACCTATAGGGGCACGAAGGGTCTCTTCCCTCTCGATCTATGATATGACCATTGCATGGCTCAGACGATTCCAAGGATTCTTGGCATGTCCAATTAGGAACAATACGAGTGTTGTTTTCGTCGCCGAGCTCGAGAGCCTCAAAGCCAGGTCCAGCTTTGATCGACTTGCGTCTCTTCAACAGAAAATACGAACGTCTCCTGATTCGGTCACGAGCCTCAATATCGTCTCGGGGTTCAAAATCAAACATATCTACAAGTAGGCGGTCAGGGCCGAGTCAGCAGTTATGTCCTCGTTGATACTCAATCTGCCAGAAATAAGAAATAGGACAACTACGACACGAAGCCTAACCATCATCTCAATCAAGCTGCAATCAGAGCAACCCAGCCTACAACTACTACAAACCAAATCAAAACCGCACGAATGGATCCCGATACCACGATGGTGCTGGAGCGCCCGAGGGGTGCTTCGTACTGGGAAGTCCTGCGGCACCAGCCACAGCGATTTTCCCCACCATTCCCGCAGCAACCTCCTGAAGAGCCAGTAAAAAACATCGTAGGCGTATTAAAGAACAAATCGATCAAAAAGTTTGAAGAAGCCTGGAAAGATATGGTCGAGGTGCAGAAACATGAACACGAATCACAAAAATGCACCGACGCAGCCAACGAGATCGACACCGCGTTAGAGGTGTCATCTGATATGCTTCCTCCTAGATTTCGCCGCTCTCCCGCTTACCAGCTTATGAGGAGGGAGTCCTTGGAGAACCGGCATAAATCAGAGCAGGAATTTCAAGAAGCACTCAATATGCACAACAAGGCGTCGTACGAGAAGGGGCAGGCCGAAACTTACAAGGAGGACGCCCAAACACTGGAGGACGAGCTGAAGATGAAGAAAAAGTGCTGCTGCAAGAGTAAATGCTGCCATTGCCACAAGAAACCACCGACGACGATCGTCGTTTCGCCATTCACGAGGACCACGTGGAATTGGTTCGCAAGCTGAAACAGCCAGCATGGAAAACGAAGAGGTCGTAGAGCTTGGGAAATCGCCGTGGGCAATCTTTTTGACCCAGCGAGGACATAAGGAGTGGTGTTTGTTCATGGGGATTGACTGGGTCTTTCTCTTTCTCCTAACCGCGGCCAGGGGTGGCGGACGAATCTGAAGTGTGTGTGAAAAGGATTGGGATGAATATGTTGCTCTTTTGCCGAGCCACGCCGCTCGATGTCGTTCAGGTGGACGTTTTGGCATTATGGTATCGCTTCAGAAGGAACACAGGACAAATCGACATGGAATTCAAGTGTGGACAAGACAACCCCATTCTTGGCGTCGCTGTGTACATGTATTACGTTGGGATTAATATGATGATGGAAATGAACGAATATGTTTGAGAAATCTTGGCCATTCAAAAGCCCATAGCCGGGGGTCCGTCTCCTGCCGGACTCGCGATCCTCACAGTACAGGTGGTTAGTTAGGCGGCCGTTCCTTGGACCGAGTAGTTAGCGTTGGCTAGGTAGTAGATACCTACTTGTATATACTCCGTACGCCGAGCTCGGTAAGCTACTTAGCTAGCTACTGTAGCGGCTAGCCGCTGAATATTAGTAGGTAGGTTACATATGTAGCCAAGCTCGTCTATTCTACTACTGAGGCAGCCAGGCAGCGGGGCCCCCATGGGTAACTGGGTTGTGAGCTTAAGCGATTCAATGTCCTCGTTACAGTAGCTGGAGCTACTTTGAAGGTTGGTTAGGTACCTGGTAACTGGTACCTGGATTACTCGCAAACGAAAACCCGATCACCATATTTGTGGGTTTGACTCTAGAGGGCCAGCGCACGCCCCTTTAGCCTGAGTTTTGACTGAGCCATCGGCTGAGCCTGGTGAGCCTCACTGAGCACTTGCTGGGTAGCTCATTGAGCTAGACGCTACAAGGAGGGCCGAAGCGGGATCCCCAAGTGATCGGCTACAATACCTACTGTACCTCTCAACGAGGCACTTGTTTTAGATAATCATCCGGGAATCTGGTATCTCGATGCAAGTGGCTACCGCTGGTGTTAGCTCCTGATCTTGTACTCGGTAGGCAGGCAGACAACGAAGCGGCGAAGGGCAAGGCAAGGGACAGCCCTGTCGGGACCGTTAGCGAGATGCCTCGCTTACTTATCAGTGCCCAACAGTCCCCAGGGAGTTGCTCAACCTTCGGCTGCCCTAAATTACTGGGTACAAATCCGCCGTGTGTGTGGCTGGCCCCCGCGCCGGCCCGTCACTGTAGCCGATGAAATGAATCAACGTCTTCCTGGAGCAACTTTGTAGAATTTATGTCCGGTGATGCGTATGCATTAGCGTCTTCGTGACTATCATGCATAGCCATTGATGGTGGTAGCAAAGCATGCCGGCCCACGAATCAGACGGGGTTTCCTACCACGCTACGACTAAGGCGCCAGGCTTGACATTAAGCGCTTGTCGTTGTTTCAATACCCTCGTCTTCATAATGACTGCTCTGCTACATTCCCTATGTCTGACTAAGGCAGAAAGTCTACCAGCGGGACTGCAGACGAGTTGCGCGGGCAGAACTCCTAGACGTTGGGTGCAATGCATCATTTTCAGCCTGATCCCAGGAGCCCTGTTGATAATGGACCTTTTCTCGGAGTCTTCATCTTTGCCACAAACAAAGGTCTTTCATATGCTCTGGTATCAACATGGCCCAAAAAGAAGGCAGTCTACTCTCCCCAATTCCCAGTCGCGGCAGGTCTCGTCTACCCTGCAGATACCCAATATCTGATCCTGCGAGTATAACTCGCCGCGACTCAATTGAAAGCGAGAGCTCTACCCGTCACTCCATCTCAGCAAGCCAGCCTCGGCGTCCACAGACCGGCAAGTCATATCACACCTCTCTCTTCAGTTGATGCTGATGACACGATTTGTCGGGTACCAAGACAACAGCGGTCAAGCCAGGCCCACGCATACTTCCAGCGGACCCTACAACATGGCGCCGACGAGTTGACCGTTTTAAAGTTGCAGGTTGGAGATTCGGGCCTCTTTTGGAGCTCTCGCTGAGGCGCCATCATCCTTGTGTGTAACACGGTTCTCCTGGCTGTCGGATGGTCCAGGACCAGGAGGACGAGGGGCATGGGCATCCTCACCAGTGGGAGTGGAACCAAAGTCGCCTGGATCGGAACCATCTACCATATTCTCATCAATGTTTTCAGCACGGCTCTACTCTCTGCAAGCAACTATTGCATGCAGGTTGTCACAGGACCTACAAGGGATCAGGCAGATGCGGCGCACGTTGGAGGGGGATTTGTCGACATTGGCGTTCTAAGCCTTCACAATCTTCAAGACGTGGGTGTTTTGAGACAGACACTGTTCGGGACGCTCGCCATCAGCTCGCCACCTCTCCATCTATTGTGGGCTGACTATTTTCCGATCTGCCTTACATTCCACATTCACTAACCAAAAGCAGCTACAATTCAGCAGTGTCTGAGGTCTTGGGTGGCCGAGCCTTCACAGTAACGACTCTCGCATATTCCGGTCTGGACACATTTCACGCCAACCACGACAACAGCACCTATCGAATTCTCTCCAACGAGCAGTGGGCCGCAGCCTACAGCACAAACCGCGTTACCCGGTGGGGTAACCTCTACCTTTTCGTCGATGCCTACTCTTTCGGCGTCTATTACAGTTTGGAGACTGGCACGATGTTGCTCGAACAAGTATTCAATATGCCAGACAGCGGCTTCGGTCAAAGTAATCAACTGATTATGCTACTGACGAACGATACTCACAACGTGTTGCTGTTTCCGGACGTATCTCTGCCCAAACCATTCGCGCCAGACCACCAAGATGTGCCGGGTTTCTCGCAGTCGGCCACGTACACTATAGCGGACGCGGGTTGGCTCTACTATGACGCCGTGGCTGGGCACGTCCAGACTGCCAGGGCAGAATACGTCTCCGACTCGAGCAAAGTCGAGATTTCCCTTTCTTTATGGGGATTGTGGTGTTTTGCAACGCCGCTAAGGTTGGCGTTATGGGCGTGCTTTTGAAGCGATGGCGGGTGCACCCTCTTGTGACTGTTGGCGGCAGGATAGCGTCGTTCTTGCATCGCGGTGACTTCACAACGATCGGCTGTTGTGTCGCAACGGAAAAGAACAATCTGCAGCATTTATGAAACAAGGGAACGAATAGTTCGGACGCCGACAACGTCGAATTGGTCTGATCTTCATCCAAGTTCCAGCTGAGAAAGTCTGCGAGTCGCAGAGGTGCGAGTGCTTTCCTAGGCATGTACGTCCTCGTTTCGAAACCCCCTCCCTGCCGGACAAACTATTTATTTCTTCTGGCTCACCCATGCCACCTTCGCTTGCTTGATGGCGGCATTCATGAGAAACCGAGCAGCGGCATGTGGCAGTGGGGCCACCGCTTCGGACCTGACTCTCGAAGCCGCCTCGTCCGGTTTCGATTCCAAAAGCATCTTGATCAACACCTGGCTGGCTGGCGCCATCCCGACACGCCGACTTAAGTTTCAACTTTGGTGGCCGTGGCGGGAGAGGGAACGAGTGAGAGTATCGAGAGACAAAGCAGCAAAGGCCGACACCGAATCGACTCCCCAGCGAGGCTCAGTTCCCTGGCAAGAGTGGGCGACAGGTTTTTCGTTCGAAACTACCTCCACTACCTAAAGTACCGAGCACTTGAGTAGGTACTGGACTCTGTACGTGTAATTGGACTGGCGCTAGGCTGTTGAGGGAAGCTGGTGCCGTTTCCTTGCTATGTACACGTGCCTACCCTCGCTTACAAGGCCACCCAAGGTGTCGACTAACACGGACCTAGGTAGGTTTGTCGCCCAGTTGATCTCCTCATTGTCGCGATTCTTAGTCGTGCATTGGAGATGGGCGAGGCACAGACCACATTCGGTTTCCACAGTGCAGTACCGAGTACATAGTCTATTCTTCTATTCCGTTTCTGTATAATTCTGTAGTTGTAGGACGGTCGTGACACCGTCGGATGCTTCGATACACATACACAAACGTACTTTTACATGAGGCATACATACACACACATATACACACATATCCTCCTGTTTCTGTCATGTTTCTCGAACATGCGTCTGTAGTCTGTCTCCCGCTGAGAAGGACATACCTACCTGCGTCATAAAAAGCGAGTGGCTCTCGAGGTCCGCAACGCCCCTAAGACGGGGAAGATAGCATTGATGAATTGGATCTCTTCGGAGACGGAGAACGCGGCAGCGGCGGCAATATCGTCACGTCCACTGGACCCGGGCCTGCACTGTGTCGCAGCTGGCTCGTGCCTTTCCCCTCTTCGGGGGCCATCATCCGCCCGTTCACGCTCGACGAGTTGCGGCTCCAGCGCGAATTTAACAACGGTACCGGAGGCATGAGCGCGGGCGAGAACGGGAAGGGCGAGTCGGGGACGTTGGAGATGCTCTCGGAGGGGGTGATGGATTTGCGAAGTCGTCGTGGAGAGTTGAAGGTCGATTCAGGGGGAGTTGGACTGGAGAAATGCGCCGTCGACGGTGTAGTCGGTGGCAGAGGGAAGTCCATCATGCCGAGGCCCGAGATCGTCAGGCTTCTGGGAGAAGGGGGGTTGGGCACGGGGCTCATGGCTTCGGATCTTTCTGCCAAGGCAGGTGCATTGCGCGCCACAGGAGTCGGGGGATTGTTCGCCAGACCGTTGGGATGTCTTAATTGACCGTCCACACTTCGAGACGCCGCGTACTCCTCCTCCACATTGAACTGGGAAAGATATGTCCCGGAGCCGCCTGAAGAGTACGCCGGTGGGGCTGCAGTACTGTCGTCGAGGCTCCGTCTACTGCGTGTACTTTGAGATCGTTGAAGTCGGTCAGAAGCTGCGCCGTTGGGAGGGTTATTCTTCGAACCACTGCGGACCAGAACTGGTGGAGGCGCGCGTGTAGTCGTGATAGGTAGAGCGATAGCTGTGCCTCTGGTGACCGACGGTGCCGTCGTGACCACGGTTGAAGCAGGCCGCGCCTCTTCTGTTCGCGTGGCATACGTCTCAGACATTTGTGGAGCTGCTTTCGATGCCATTCCATCTTCTTCCTCTCCAGGTAGCCTCTGGCCTTGTCGTGCACGGTAAATCGCCCATCTGGCCTTGAGGGGGTTGCAATAGCGAAAGAGAAGGTAGACAGCAACAACAGCGGCCACAGCCCCCAACAGAGACGGAACTATGATTGCAGCTTTGGCTAAGGGATGATTCGAGGCGCTGACAGTCTCACTGGCAGAAATTGCCGTGGTTGATGCCGCGGCCGACCCGGTACTCCCACTTGCAAGGGGCACCAGTGAAGTTGAACCAGTAGAAATGGAACTGGAAAATGTCGATCCGGTGGTAAGAATCCCTTGAGAGGTGGTCGGGGCTATTTCTGTCGAAGTGGGCGGATAAGGCGAGGCAGAAGTAGACGTGCCAGCCTGGCCTGTGGTTGGAGAGGGTATGAATGGGTTATCGATCGTCCTTGACTGCGCAGTTATAGATCGCTGATCCTGGGGTGCCGTAGTTGTCACCGGCTCAAAGGGGTTTGGAGTATTGCCGTCTCCCTCTTCGTCACCGGAGTCATCAACTCCGCCGTCCTCATCCTGGGTATCATCATCACTAGACGTCTGATCCTGAGGAAGGAAGTTATTCTGAGGTAGGCCTGATTCAGTTCTTAGCTTTGAAAGCGAGACGCTATGGCCTGGGAGGGAGCTTATGGTAAGGGCAGCATCGACAGCATTTGGGGGTGGTGATGATGGTAGACTTGGGATCGTTGGTGGCATCTCACCTTGCCTTTGCACGAATTTTGGTTTATGGAAACCGTGTGAATTCTCGCTTCGTTCTGCCTTCCGCTGAGCAATCTGGAACCTGTCAAAGCGTCCCTTGAGTTCGTTGGCGGGCATGTTGCCTGGCGTCGGTCCTCCAAAGACTCAAGTATTTGCACCCAAGACAAGTAACGAAACTAGCATCGATGAAATGAAGAGACGAGCACGAAATGAACTTGGCAGAGGAACCAGCCTCAGCGTCAGCCTTCGACAAACACCCGAACAGGCAACAAGCACTTCAGGGCCAAGGGATTGAATCGACCGGCGACACACGAAGAGGTAGAAAACAAGAAAGACGAGAGAAGTCAAGTCGTCTATGAACTCCCCCTGTCGTAGCTTACCGATTCAGCAATACAACGCCCAGACAGTTGATGATGCAGACTGTGCGTAGTCTAGCCCCGTACGAGAGGAAGCCCGACAGTCACAGGTTTGGCACGAACAAGTCTTGTTTGCGATCGACGGCGACGACTTCCCCACCGCGATCGAAACGACAGGTATCGCAGGGAGCGGTGAGTCTGGAACGGCCTTGGCTCACGCGTCAACACTGAGGAAGACACACCAAACGGTATCAGCTTGAGAAGCTCTGAAACAGCCAGGGTCGGAAGACAGTGGAGGCGGCCAACTTGGCAAACACAGACAGTACGCAAAGTGGCTCGGGCCCACGTGGCCGTGGCGTGGCACAGGTGATGTGTGGTGTTTCTGGTGTTTTGTACCAAGTACCTCCTATGTAATAATGAAGAGAAGAGTCCGAGGAGATGTGTTCGCCCAGCTTAGTTAGTCGTCATGGTCGAGGTTGACAATGGCAAGGTGTGAGGGTATTGAGAATAGGGGCAATTAGTGGTAATGCCAAGTACCAAGGACATAATAGGGGCCACCAGGCACCGCCAGGCTACTTCACCTTCCCCTTTTCCTTATATTTCCTCATTGGAGAGACACCACCGTCCCCAATGTCACCAATGTCTAATCGCAAATAGGCCAATTTACCTAATTCCATCCTTCCGGCATCTCCAGCCGTCGTCATTAGGTAAGCTTAACGAGCCTGTTGGTGCTGAGTCCCTATGAGGGGATCAATATGCTGTTGCTGCTTCAAGGCTCGCTGTTGCTGAAGCGGCGAGTGCCCGGCCGGCGTTGTACCCGGCAGCCAACCTGACTAAACCGGGTTCCCAGTCCGAATTCAACGGAGATCCAGGATAAAAAGCTTATGGCGATGGCATTGGGGCACACCCAGCTCGTCAGATCCGGGACCATCTTGAGGAAAACGAGACGCGCGAAGAAATGGGATCCAAGGACATCATCAAAGACAGCAGCAGCAACAGCAACCAGCCCCAATCCGCCACCGCCAACTACGACGACGAGGAGCAAACCCCCGGCTTGATCTACAAGGGACCCGTGAATCGATCTGCTTTCCGTGCTTTGGTCCAAGACTTCAGCCCAATATGGTACGCCCTTCCTCCAACTACACCACCAGCTTCTTTTACAATCTAACCAAACCATAACCAGGTTCACTTGGTGTATGAATGCCGGCGTGATTGGGACTCTCCTGCATCAGCTACCCTACCAGTTCCCAGGCCTGCATGTGCTCTCGACGATTGCGTTTACCACTGACCTCGCCCTCTACGTCGTCTTCTCCGCCATATACGTTCTCCACTTTGTCATGTTCCGGCGGCGAGCCTACAAGGAACTCGTCGACAACGTGATGGACCTATTACTGTTCCCGTGCTGGTCGATCGCCTTCATGACGCTGGTGTCGTTCGTCACCCTCACCGTGAGCGAGGCGCCGTGGGGAGGCCATGCATTCACCATCGTCGCATGTGTCATGTGGTGGATCGCCGCCGCCTGGAGCTTTGGCATGTTGTTCTTCGTCTTCTCCAATCTGATCCAGCAACATACCATACTGGACCGCCAGCTCCCGACGCTCATCATCATCCCCGCCGTCGGAGTGGCCACACTGGCAGCCGTCGGCGGCGTCTTCTCGTCCTTCGCGCACAGTGTGTCTCCAGGGCTTGCCGTTCCTGTCATCATCATGTCAATGTGTGCGCTCGGGGTGGGAATCTTCCTGGGCATGATTCTGTACACGTATCTGCTTCATCAGCTCCTGGCGAAGGGGTGGCCTGCTCCGCCCATGACAGCCACTCTATTCATCCTCGTGGGTCCCATGGGCCAGTCTGCCGCAGCCCTACAATTGCTGGGGTCAGCGGCCAGCACTCACGGCCAGTTCC